AACTCAACACCCAAAAGACAAATATCAAGTCAAAAAGTGGGCAGAAGACATGAGCAGACACTTCTCCGAAGAAGACAAACAAATGGCTAACAGACACATGAAAACATGTTCATCATCATTAGCCATCAGGGAAATTCAAATCAAAACCACATTGAGATACCACCTTACACCAGTTAGAATGGCAAAAATGGACAAGGCAAGAAACAACAAGTGTTGGAGAGGTTGTGGAGAAAGGGGAACCCTCTTACACTGTTGGTGGGAATGCAAGTTGGTACAGCCACTTTGGAAAACAGTCTGGAGGTGCCTCAAAAAAATTAAAAACAGAGCTACCCTATGACCCAGCAATTGCACTACTGGATATTTGTCCCAAAGACACAGATGTAGTGAAAAGAAGGGCCATATCCACCCCAATGTTCATGGCAGCAATGTCCGCAATAGCCAAACTGTGGAAAGAGCCAAGATGCCCTTCAACAGATGAATGGATAAAGAAGATGTGGTCCATATATACAATGGAATATCACTCAGCCATCAGAAAGGATGAATACCCAACTTTTACATCCACATGGATGGGACTGGAGGAGATTATGCTAAGTGAAATAAGCAGAGGAAGTCAATTATCGTATGATTTCACTTACTTGTGGAACATAAGGAATAGCGTGGAGGACATTAGGAGAAGGAAGGGAAAAATGAAGGGGGGGAAATCGAAGGGAGAGATGAACCATAGGAGACTATGGACTCTGAAAAACAAACTGAGGGTTTTAGAGGGGAAGGGGGTAGGGGGGATTGGTCAGCCCAGTGATGGGTATTGAGGAGGGCATGTACTGCATGGAGCACTGGGTGTTATATGCAAACAATGAATCGTGGATCACTACATCAAAGTAAAAAAATAAAATAAAATGCAGAAAAACCCCAAAACCTTGTTTGAAGAGACCTACCTGCTTGCTCTCAACGATAGACCCACAACATGCAACCTCAGGTTATCCCAGGAAAAAGCCTCTTTCCCTGGGCCTCAAGCATATCATCATACTATGGGACCTGCCAAGCAAGAGGGCTCATGTGCCACTTAGCCTCTAACTACCGTTTGGCAATTTTCTTTGGAAAAATTATTGGTAACCACTATTACATACTGACAATCTCAGTCATTTTATAATCATCCATTCCATGCTGGTTTTCAGGAACTGCTGGTGGGCTATATAGAGGAATGAGCCATGGGTCACTCTTAAGGGGTCAGTTACCTTAACAGGGTAACAAGCATGCAGTGATCGAGGTCCAGTGTTCCATGGTGGAACAGAGGTGGGCAACAGATTTTCTTCATTTTGGTATGCCCAGCAGGGAGCTATGTCAGTGCATAGTTAACACTCAATAAATATATACTGAATGGAAAATGAGCACAGTGGTATGCCACTGAAGAAAGTACGTAACTTTGCTAGGGTGTCAAGGACACCTACTTTCCCATGTTGCTGTCCTTTGTCACATCATATATATCATATCATCAGTATCTTTGCTAATTCCTTCCTCCCTCTCTTCCAATAATAAAGTTCTATTCATCCTCCAGGCCCACTCCAGAGTGCAGACTGAGACTGACTTGTCTCTGTAACCCCACCATGAATGGATGGAGAGTAAACAGAGGACGATGGGAGAAGTCATCATGGGAGTGCTCATAACTGTCCCAACAAACTGTGTTCTCCCTTTTTTCAGGATGTTTGTATGGTTAGACCTTTATGTAGCAATCTTCACTGCTTCTTCCACTGAGCTAAATCCTACTCATACAGCAACTCAGGCATCATTTCTTTTAGGTAGGCTTCCATCAGCCTGCTTCAGCCTGCTTCTAGGTTTGATCCATACATTACTGCCAGAGGCATCTGTGTAGCCATCCTTTTCCATACCTGGTAAACTCTGGAAGACCAGGAATCAAGTGCTAGTCACTGTTATGTTCCCAATGTCCAGTAAAGTTCATGGCACATAATAGGTTCTCAAATAAATTAATTCATGATTGAACAAAGTATGTCATTTAAATATTTCCTTTGTATCCTACCATGAAATAAAGCCAGGTCTTGAAAAATCCCACAAAACTTGAATGTTTATGTGCAATAAGGCCTCCTAATTCTATACTTTTATAAGTACCAAAAAATGCGGTTTAGTCTCCTCTGGGATAATTTCCCAAGGAAAAAGGATCCACTGTCACTCAGGCCCTTATAGCGTCTCTTTTGCATGGTACAGAATTTCTAACAGTTATGGTATTATAATTAGCTCTGATAAGAGGTAAATGGGATTGGATTTGTTAATGACACACGATATTTTAACAGATATGGAGCCTAATGCTGAGCTCTGGCCGCTGGAAACCAAAGTCAAACCACCATCCTGATTTCCCTCCAAATGAATTAACTTTCACTTGGGGTTTCAAGTGAGACAAGCCAATCCATAATGTGTTCTCATAGGAGTCCTCCTGGCATTGAGCTCTGTTGGCTGACTCATAGAAATCATTCTGCACAATCATGCTAATAGAAACTCTTCACTGAGCTGCAAGAGCACTACATACAGTACTTCTCATTAAGATGCCTCTTCAGGAAGGGTATTATTATTCCCATGCTACAGATGGAAAAACTAAAGCTCAGAGCTTGCTTGAGCTCACTAAGACAGTAACTAATTCACCAAAGATGTCAAATCCTGAGCAGTCTCATTGGAAAGCCTTCTCTGCCCATCTACCACTGAGGAAGTTCTCAGAGACAACAGAGACCTTAAGCAGAGACCACATGTCAAAGGAAAGGAACCTTAGCATTGAATGATACAGAGCCAGCTAGCTCAGCTACTGCCTCTGGGGGCAGGGTGTGGTCAATATACCAGAAACACATTATTATAATGGTGAGCACAGGGCTATAATAACTTATAGCACATTTTGCTGTATATTTAGAACAAAGAGTATTCCACCAAAAGACAGTTTTTTCTTTTAATGAGGCTGACTTATAAATTTTTTTAGGATTTTATTATTGAGAGAGAGAGAGAGAGAGAGAGGAAGGGAGGGGTAGAGGGAGAGGGAGAGAGAAACCCAAGCGGACTCTGCACTAAGCATGGAGCCTGACACAGGGCTTGATCTCACTACCCTGAGATCATGCCCTGAGCTGACACCCAAGAGTTGGTTTCTCAACTAACTGAGCCACCGAGGTGCCCCCTGACTTATAATTTTGTATTGATTTATACACATTATCTCACTTGAGGGAAACACAAAGCTGGAAAGAAAGATCCTGCCCCATGTATGGATGAGGAACCAGAACAGGGATCTCACTGGTTTTGGTGACCCCACCAGAGGTAAGACGGCTGTGGATGAACTCTAGCGACTGTTCCTACATTTCCAGCTGTCACTTGTTCTCCTCCCTATATAGTATTCTTTCCTTCCTCCTTGTTCCATCAGCTTAAAAAAAATAAAGCTTATCTAAAGGACGGAGGAAGGTCCTTCTGCCATGTGGTATGACTACATCACAGTGACTCCAAGACACTCAACTTGAAGGACGGGAAAAGAAGAAAAGTCTTATGGGTATGATAAAGCAATCATTTGTAGGACCTCCAATATTTCATAAACATTAAATAAAAGCCTGGGCTTCCCAGACATCTCACCCACAATTGCCATTCTCATTGCAATAGGGCATCAAGAACAGTCAAATAAATTATTAATGCAGCAGTATTCTCTGAATTGGCAGGCATCCCATGGAAAGAGTGACGTGCCAGTCTGGCAACTGCTCTGTTTTGCTGAGGAACACAACATTTTATCCTGGGAGATGCTCGTGTTGATTGCACAAGGTGATTTCAAGTTATTTTTCTAAATTATCTTATAGGGATATTCAGGACAATTATAATAAATCTATTATGAGGTTGCATAAGTATTCTAGACATTAATTTAAAAAATTTCCTAGCTCTGATTCCTGTGAAGTCCACGTAGGGTCTGGAAATTCAGTAGTTTTCTCTGTGCCCCTGGCAATGACATATGGCAGTGGGACTTGAGTTTTGGCCCATCCATGATCACACAGACCTGGCTTCACTCACTTCAAAGATCCATGTTTTACTGATGATTTGATCAAATTAAGCTGAAGACAATGTGGCACTTTTTGGTAGTTTCTCAAACTATTATTGCATAAAGCTTAATATAACAAGTGTGTATCTATAGATGAGAGCCTTGGATGATAAAACTAATATATCTGTTGAGCATAGAATTCCCAAGAGCATATATATTTAGGAGATTATATGTTGATTCCATAACCAATTTTTCCATATATTCCTGTTACCCCTCTTTGAAAACTGCAATCAGAGGCAAAGATAGGCATGAATTTTGAATATCACATGAATAATTTTCATGGGGCAAATCTTTATTTTTTGAAAGCTGATTTCATTTTGGGGAAACATATAATTTAGAGCCAAAGCTATTCTTTAAATCCTTTTAACAACTACCCAATCGGGATGTCCAAGAATCTTCATCTCAATCTCTTCAAACTGAAAACACCTGGTCTCTGACCCAACCCAACCTGTTTTCCCTACTGCATCCCCTTCCTAGGATTGGTATCACGTTCCACAAAATTTGTTGTATTCTGTAATCTCTTCTGAAAATCAGGATGAGGTATTAGGAACTACACATGTACAAGATTCTTCCATAAGCTTACTATGATTTGGTATGTAATGAAAATATTTATTTCAAATAAGAATTCACAGTTTCAAAAAAAGAGGGTCAAAAATGAGAATGTTAATGGTTTTTAGGAACCATGGCCTTGTTCACAAACACAGATGTCAAAGTGTCAGAAAAGCACTTGGTGACAAATCATTTTATTTCTTGTAGACAACATTTAATCGAATGTGGGAAACAAGACCAACCTGCTTTGAGCTATAAGTTTAACATAACTATTTTAGACTCTGGAATCCATGACACAAACCTGAAGAAAACACTTGAAGTCAGGATGTGTTTGGGGAGGAAAAAACTCCATGTAACTCAGACACTAGGCCTTTCCAATTGGTACCTGTCTTTGGTTTTCCGTCTCCAGGCGTAGCCTGGCCTCCACACACCTCCGCGTCTCCAGGAAGGCTTGGCGCTGGGCCCGGTCTGACAGATAGCTGATGAAGATTCCAGCTGTGTTCATACACATGAATAACACTGCCTGGGCCACAACCTAAAACACATTTGCAAACATAGGCTGGTCAGATGATTAAAACAAGGGCAGTTTGGAGACAAAGAGGAAAACATAAAGAAAGATTTCCAAGGTAAATCTTAAGGTAGTAATCCAAATATTTAGCATCAGCCTAATAGAACCATTTGGGTCATGGGTGAAATGTCAGCCCCCCATTGGCCTTTCCATCCAATTTAAAGCTTCTCATACTGCAAGTGTGGATTTGAACGTGAATTGGAAACTTGAGGTTAGATAGGAGCACTTCTCTCTTTCTCACTCTGCCTTACCTCTCCCCCTTCACTAGCTGAAGTTTTTAGCCTTCTAAAGGCTAAAGGTCAGAAGAAGGGAAAAGGACTAGTAAGAAATAGTTAATAGTACTACTATTATATCTAGTAGCTCTTACAACTTTTTTCGATGATATAAAAGTAAATATACTAGCAATGAATGCAAAAAAATCTTAGCAGAGAAAGAGAAACCATGCACACAAAATGAAAATTCTAGAAGTGGAAAACACAACACTGAAAATTAAAACAGTCACTGGAGGATAGTAATAGGATAATGTAAATGACAGAAGAAAAAAACCAATAAATTTAAAGATAAATCAATAAGCCAAGAATAACCTTGAAAGCAGTCAGAGAAAATGTTACAGACAGGGGACATGCTCTCTAGTTATGATAATGATTTTCAGGTAAATAAAAAAGAAAGACATTACTAAGATGCACTGAAACGAGGGGCACCTGAGTGGCTCAGTTGGTCGAGCATCTGACTCTTGGTTTCGGCTCAGATCATGATCTCAGGGTTGTGAGATGGAGGACTGCATAGGCTCACACTCAGTGTGGAATCTGCTTGAGGTTCTCTTTCCCTCTCCCTCTGCCCCTCCCTCTGCTCATACTCTCTAAATAAATAATAAATAAAATCTTAAAAAAATAATAAAATACACTGAAAAGTTTGAAAGTCAAAACAAAATAAAGCTGGTTTTGCTGTGTAAATACTATAGGAAAGAGAACTGAAGGAAAAAAACATTACTAGCGATAAATAAGATCACTATATAATGTTAAGAGCTTTAATTCACCAGAAAGATCTAAAAATTATGAACTTGAGCACATTTAGCAACATAGCTCAGAATACACAATGCCAAGTGTGACATAAGTCTATAGCATTATTTACGAATCTATCATCACAGTGATCTATTTTTTACACAATGTTCAGCAGTTAACAGATCGAACAGATTAAAAAAATCAGCAAAGACAGAGACAACTTAAATATCTCATACAACTAACAAACTTGAAATGGAATACAGTATGCAACAACTAGATGGTACAAATTCTTTTTAGGCACTTATTGAATATTTATAAATAGGATTTTATGATAAAACTTGAAGGTAGCCTCGGCAAATTTCAAAGAATTAGTAGCATATAACTATAGTCAATTACTACACTAAAATCAATTTACAAAGACAACATCATGTGTTTGGAAATTAAAAATATTTCTAAATAACTCATGGATCTAAGAATATATTATAATGGAAAATATGTGTAGTTAAAGAATAATATGAAAATACTACTGAACAAAATTTAGTAGTCCTCACAGAGGAATGTATAGTAATAAATGCTTTATTTTTTTAAAAAGCTGAAAATCAATGTGCTAGCCATTCAACTTAAGGATTTAGCAAAAAACAAAAAGCAGAATAAATCCAAAGTATGTAGAAGGAAAAAAAGTAATAAAACAGGAGCAAAAATAAATAAAAAACAAAGTCAAAAGTTCCTTTTCTGAAAAGACTAAGAAAGGATAACAATTCTTATAAGCTTAATTTAAAAGAAAGAGAGAAAAGGTCCAAATAAGCAATATTAAGAACAGGAAATGTGACAAAGATATTGCGGAAATTAATAGGTAATAAGAATATGTTATGAAGTTTAATGCTACAAAAAATCTGAGATGGAATTGGTGTATTTCTCAAAATACATCTTTACCAGAACTGACTCAAGGAAAAGGAGAAAAAGTCAATAAAAGGAACCATAATTAAAAATCTTTTCACAAGGAAAGCAATGGGCCCAGATGCCTTCATTGGAACATTTTATAAATAACTGTGGAAGAAATAATTTAAATATTTCATGTCTCTTCCAGAGAACAAAAAATTGCAAACTCAGTTTATAAGGCTGACATAACCTTGATACCAAAACCACTATGGTTGGTGGATAAGTAAATCTCACTCATGAACATGGAGAGAAATTACTACACATGATATTAGCAAATCAAATCCATCAATGTATAGAAAAAATACTTCAAGTTGACAACAGGGAATTTCTCCCAGGAATCCAATGATGGTTTAAAATTATCAACTCAACTAATGTAATTCACATTTATAGCTTTTAAAAAACATATAATCATTCCATTGAGATGAAACAGCATTGATGAAATTCAGTATGTTTTCATTAAAAAAAAAACCTGAGATTAAAAATAAACTTTCTTAATCATTATGCAGAATATGTACAGAAACAAAACCAAAAATACCTAAAGCAAACATCCTGCTCAATGGAAAAAGGTTCAAGAGCATTTGTTTAAAGACCAGGGTAGCAGTTACCATCAAATGTATTCAACACCATTCTTGAATTCTAGCCATCTCAATAGGACAAACAAAGAAACAAAATAAAAATGATAGTTTGGAAAGGAAGAAATATACTTTCATTTTTTGCAGATGATTATCCATGTGGAATATCCAAAAATATCTACAGAAAAATGACTAAAATTAATAATAATTTAGCAAAGATGCTGGATATAAAATCAAAATAAAATGTCAATTGCATTTCTATGCACCCATAACAAACAGAAAGAAATGAATTTAGTGGAGAAAACAATGGGATTTAATTTAAAATAATCAAATAAGACCTACATAGATGGAGGGTTATATACCATGTTATGGATAGGAAAGAATTGCTACAGTAAAGTTCTCAAATCTCAGTAGGTATTTTTACCCCCAGTGGAATTCAAGATGATTCTAAAATTTATATGGAAGGGCAAAGGGTCAAAAATACAAAAGATATTCCTAAAGAAGAACAAAATAGAAAGAGTTGTGATATCAGATATTGAGACTTATTATGTTTTAGCAATTAAAACATCATGGTATTGATATAGGTATCCAAAAATTGACCGGTGGATGTCAACAGAGAACCCAGAAACACAAAGGCACAAAGTTTAGGCACCACAGGTCTAAGGGGAAAAGAGGGATTTTCAACAAAAGGGTACCAGGACAGTTTGTTATCCATTTAGAAACTAGAGTAAAAGTAAACCCCTGCCTAATACCACCCATGGAAACACACTGCAGGTGGGTTAAAGTCTTCACTATGAAAGACAAAAATATTAAATACAATCTAGGAGAATATTTTTACCACCTTGATAGGTTTTTATAATAAACCACAGGAGCACCTGGGTGGCTCAGTCATTTAAACATCTGCCTTTGGCTCAGGTCATGATCTCGGGGTCCTGGGATCGAACCCCAAGTCAGGCTCCCTGCTCAGCGGGAAGTCTGCTTCTCCCTCTCACTTTGCCCCTCCCCCCCCGGCTCATGCACTCTCTCTCTCTCTCGCTCTCTCCTTCTCTCTCTCTCAAATAACTAAAAATCTTTAAAAAATAAAAATAAAGCACAAAGAATACAAACTAGAAAGAACAGAGGAGTATATTTGATTAAAGAATTTCTATACATTCAAAGACACCACAAATAAAATTGAAAGAAAAAAACTACACACAAACTAAGAAATTTGTGATACTTATAACCAACCAAGAATTAATTTTAGCTTATAAGAACTTGTACAAATGTATAAGAAAACATAAACAATCCTATTGAAAACAAGGGCAAAAGATAAACAGATATTTCAAAGACAAGAAAAGACAAATATGAAACTGAGTGCAACCATCTAGGAACTGTAAGTTAAAGTCCACACCCATTCCACACTTACTAGGTTGGCTCCAAAAAGAAAATATATAGTGGAGCATCATCAAATTGTCAAGGATGCCAGTGGGAATGTGAAATGATGCAACTACTTTGACTTTACACATTACTATTTAATTTGCGCCACCCCAGAACTTCACCTTTTCACTCCACAGCCACCTTTGTGTGTGTGGCCAGGAGACATATCCAGGAATGTCTGGAATAGCGTTCTTCATAAGGGCTTGAAACTGGAAATACTCTGAATGTCCACCAATAGTGGAATAGATACATATTCTGTGATGAATTAAAACAATGAAATACTACTGAGCATTCTGCATGCATCCAAATGGGTAAGTACAGAAAATAATAATATTTTAAAAGGTATAATCCAGTGACATAGAGATAAAAGCAATAAAACTAGTCAATATATTGTTTATGGACACATGAGATAGCATCTGATGGCATTTCTTCCCTTACCCATCAAATTGTCAATGATCAAAAATTTGACGACATACTCCTCTGGAGAGGTTGTGGGATCAAGTCATATCATGCCTAGTTGTTGAAGATATGAATTTCACAATGCCTATCAAAGTTGACAATATTCATGCTTATCAGCCCAGTGATTCCACTTCAATGGACTTATAAATATGACCACCAGGTGTTAGCATCAAAGGATAACACAGCATCATTTACATGTAATTAGAAAGAACCGAAATGCTCATGAACAGAGGACTGGTTAAATTATAAGGCCATACAGCTGGATCATATGCTGAAAAAACCAAGTTGATTTTCTGTATGAGTGCTGAGCATTCCAATATATACTGCTAGGTGGGGGGAAAGAGCAAAGGTCTAACATTTGTTCTCATTTTTATATGCACAGACTCCTTCAATAAGGCAGTGGATAATTCTGGGGACAGAAACTGAAGTCTGGTTTATAATACCTACCTTTTATATTTTGAATATGTGCATGTAGTACCTATCCCAACGCATGGAGTTTTAAAAAGATTGATAAATTTATTGCTAAAAATGAGAAAAATGCAAACTCCTCATCGTGACAATAAAGCCTGCTTGATCATCT